TTGAGGAGGAAAAAAAGTCTTTTTAGATGTTTCCCAAACCAAAAACTGAAAATATGTGTATGTTTGAAACAAACAAAAAAAATGTGTGCGTATAAACGATCATATAATCGAACTGTATTACCAAGTGTGTTTTTCTTTAGGCTTTCTGACATCGTCACTGTTTGGAGGGGTGTACATAGATGCATTGCTACAACCTTATTCAAAGCATTTGCCAATGAATAAAAAAAAAAGTTGCCTTTAAAATGTTTTTCCTGTCTATTCTCTGTTTTGCACGGATGAGACTTTGGTGGCTGCTTTTCACAGACACGTTTTGTGTTTATGTATATTTCCTGCTTTGTTTAATTTAGTCTGTTATTTAACAGTAGATAATAATAATCTTTATTTGTATAGCACCTTTCATACATAAAATGCAGCTCAAAGTGCTTTATATCATGAGCTCTTAAGTAAAAAGAATTACATCAATAAATAAATAAAACATACAATACAACAAAATGTACATGATCCAAAAGCACAAAACCCCAGGTATTAAAACTAGGAAAGATGACACTAAAGACCGGCAGGCATTAGGAAGAAGTGCAGGATATATGATGTGGCTCCTAGAAATAAAGTGTAAAGAAGTACTAAGAGCCTTTAAGTATCAATACATTTATGTAAAAAATACTACAAAAATGTAGTTTACTAATAAGTAAAAGTCCTGCAACCAAACTCCAATTTGAGTAAAGTTACAAAAAATTATAATATACCAAAGTCCTCTGAATATACTTAAAAGTATCAAAGTAAAAGTACTGGTTGTGGAGTAAAATGTCTCCTGTGACTAACTGACATCATTAGATTAATACTGAGTCATCAATATTTAAGCAGCATTTTACTGTTATAGCTGCTTGAGGTGGAGCTAGTACTACTCTATATACAGTTAGTTAAAACTACTTCATATGCTGTTAGTTATAGCTACTTTATATACAATTAGCAAGTTTTAACTACTTTATATACAGTTAACAAGTTTTAACTGCTTTTTATACATTTATATACAATTAGCAAGTTTTAACTACTTTATATACAATTAGCAAGTTTTAACTACTTTATATACAGTTAGCAAGTTTTAACTACTTTATATACAGTTAACAAGTTTTAACTGCTTTTTATACATTTAGCAAGTTTTAACTACTTTATATACATTTAACAAGTTTTAACTGCTTTTTATACATTTAACAAGTTTTAACTGCTTTTTATACATTTAGCAAGTTTTAACTACTTTTTATACATTTAGCAAGTTTTAACTACTTTATATACAGTTAGCAAGTTTTAACTACTTTATTATATACAGTTAACAAGTTTTAACTACTTTATATACAGTTAGCAAGTTTTAACTACTTTATATACAGTTAACAAGTTTTAACTACTTTATATACAGTTAGCAAGTTTTAACTACTTTATATACAGTTAACAAGTTTTAACTGCTTTTTATACATTTAGCAAGTTTTAACTGCTTTTTATACATTTAGCAAGTTTTAACTGCTTTTTATACATTTAGCAAGTTTTAACTGCTTTTTATACATTTAGCAAGTTTTAACTGCTTTTTATACATTTAGCTAGTTTTAACTACTTTATAACAGTTAGCTAGTTTAAACTGCTTTTTATACATTTAGCAAGTTTTAACTGCTTTTTATACATTTAGCTAGTTTTAACTACTTTATAACAGTTAGCTAGTTTAAACTGCTTTTTATACATTTAGCTAGTTGTAGCTACTTTACATATAGTTAGCTAGTTTTAACTGCTTTATATAGTTAGCTAATTTTAACTGCTTTTAATACATTTAGCTAGTCTTAACTACTTTATAACAGTTAGCTAGTTTAAACTGCTTTTTATACATTTAGCTAGTTTTAGCTACTTTACATATAGTTAGCTAGTTTTAACTGCTTTTTATACATTTAGCTAGTTTTAGCTACTTTACATATAGTTAGCTAGTTTTAACTGCTTTTTATACATTTAGCTAGTTTTAGCTACTTTACATATAGTTAGCTAGTTTTAACTGCTTTATATAGTTAGCTAATTTTAACTGCTTTTTATACATTTAGCTAGTTTTAACTACTTTATTTACAGTTAGAAAGTTTTAACTACTTTATATACAGTTAGCAAATACATTTAGCTAGTTTTAACTACTTTATTTACAGTTAGAAAGTTTTAACTACTTTATATACAGTTAGAAAGTTTTAACTACTTTATTTACAGTTAGAAAGTTTTAACTACTTTATATACAGTTAGAAAGTTTTAACTACTTTATTTACAGTTAGAAAGTTTTAACTACTTTATATACAGTTAGCAATACATTTAGCTAGTTTAAACTACTTTATTTACAGTTAGAAAGTTTAAACTACTTTATTTACAGTTAGAAAGTTTAAACTACTTTATATACAGTTAGAAAGTTTTAACTACTTTATTTACAGTTAGAAAGTTTTAACTACTTTATATACAGTTAGAAAGTTTTAACTACTTTATTTACAGTTAGAAAGTTTTAACTACTTTATTTACAGTTAGAAAGTTTTAACTGCTTTATTTACAGTTAGAAAGTTTTAACTACTTTATATACAGTTAGAAAGTTTTAACTACTTTATTTACAGTTAGAAAGTTTTAACTACTTTATATACAGTTAGCAAATACATTTAGCTAGTTTAAACTACTTTATTTACAGTTAGAAAGTTTTAACTACTTTATATAGAGTTAGAAAGTTTTAACTACTTTATATACAGTTAGAAAGTTTTAACTACTTTATATACAGTTAGAAAGTTTTAACTACTTTATTTACAGTTAGAAAGTTTTAACTACTTTATTTACAGTTAGAAAGTTTTAACTACTTTATATACAGTTAGCAAATACATTTAGCTAGTTTCAACTACTTTATTTACAGTTAGCAAGTTCTAACTACTTTATATACAGTTAGCAAATACATTTAGCTAGTTTCAACTACTTTATTTACAGTTAGCAAATTTTAACCGCTTTATATACAGAGTGAGCAAGTTTTAAATACTTTAGTTAGCAAGTATTAACTGCTTTATATACAAATAGCAAGTTTTAACTGCTTTATACAGTCCCCTCCAAAAGTATTGGAACAGTAAGGCATGTGTTAAAAAACTCAGGACATACCACCCTTTGTTTGAACCCACCCATTTTTCAAGTGAGCAAATCTATTGTCACATGTGACTGACAGATGTTTCTTGTTGCCCAGGTGTTGCCTTTTAGGTTGACTGTCCAAACATGAAATAGCTCTGCATGACTAGTCTAAGTTTTCATCCTTGGTTCAAACCTATAAAGACTGCATTTCCTGTTAAAGAGGATAAACCAGCGTGTACGTCTTTAGCTGTTATTTGTATTTTACATGTATTTATTGTTTCTAAGGGCAGCTACTACTATGCACTACGCACTTTTGAGTCCATGACAAATTTCCCCTAGGGGACAATAAATTATATTCTATTCTATGAAGACCAGAGAGCTGTCTATGGGAGAACAGCAAGCCATTGTCAAGCTCAGAAAAGAAGGAAAATCAACCAGAACCATTGTACAAACATTGGGCAGAGCAAGCACAACAATTTGGAATGTCCTGAAAAAGAAAGAAACTACTGGTGTACTGAGCAACAGACGTCCAACATGTCGGCCAAGGAAAACAACAGTAGTTGATGACAGAAATATTGTGAGAGCTGTGAAGAAAACCCCCAAAACATCAGGAAGTGACATCACCAACGACCTCCACAGTGCAGGGTGAAGGTATCACAATCCACTATTGGAAGAAATATAGAGGCCACACCACAAGATGCAAACCACTCATCAGCAGTGAGAATCGGAAGGCCAGATTGAAATTTGCTAAGAAGAAGAGATGAGCCGCAAACGTTCTGGTCCACAATCTTATGGACTGATGAGACCGAGATTAATCTGTACGAAAGTGATGGAAAGGCCAAAGTGTGTAGAAAGAAAAGAACTGCTTATGATCCGAAGCACACAAGCTCATCTGTGAAGCATGGAGAAGGTGATGTCGTGGCTTGGGCGTGCATGGCTGCTTCTAGAACAGGCTCATTAATATTTATTGATGACGTAACTGATGATGGTCGCAGCAGAATGAATTCAGAAGTGGACAGAAATATTTTCTCTTGTCTGCCAATTTATGGAGAAATGCATTGAAACTAATGGGGAGGAAGTTTGTCATGCAGCACGACAATGAGCCAAAGCACACAGCCAACAAAACAAAGGACTTCATCAGGGGGAAAAAGTGGAAGGTTTTAGACTTCAATCACCTGACCATAACCCAATAGAGCATGTTAGCTCGCAGGCTTGAGGCAGTTACTGCAAGCAAGGGTTGTGCCACCAAATATTAAATGTTATTTACTTTAAGATTATTTGTTCCATTACTTTAGCTCACCTAAGAATGCTGTGGTCTAATATAAACAGTGGTGTGTCCTGAGTTGTTTAACACATCTAGATGTGAATACCAGGAAATAAAAGCTGAAATTCTGAACTTGTCTCCGACTCATCTTTTGATCTTAAACCCAAATGTATTCAGTGAACAACAAAAACAAAGGAATTTGCCTCACTGTTCCAATAATTTTGGAGGGGACTGTATACAAATAGCAGGTTTTAAATGCTTTACATACAGATAGCAAGTTTGAACTATTAGATACACAGTTAGCCAGTAGTTAACTGCATTTGACTAGACAGTAAGCTAGCTCTCACCAAGCCAAAAAGGTTGGTAACAACTGGTTTAATTTAATTGAACTATACTGACTGTAGCTGTCAAATGTGGAAAGTAAAAAAACCTCAAATGTAGTGCAAAAAAGGATAAAATGTAAATACTGTTGTTTTTGGTTTTTTTAAAGAACTTCAAAATTGCTCTTAAGTTGAGTAAATGTGTAGTTACATTCCTTGGTTACTTTACGTTTCCCAACTTCCCATGCAGTATTTAAATTAATTCTGATCTTGTTGTGTTTTTCAAGTGACCTCACACATCACGCAGATAAAAAGAGGGTAATTTATTTTATTTTACAAGACAGATATTGTTAATATGCTTCACCAGGCAGGCCTTGATTTGTTACAGAAACACTGAAGTACAAACTGTCACTATATCATCCATCCTTCATGCATCCATCTCTGCTTTAATCTGACTTTTTCTTTATACAGTTTGTGTGTAGACATTACATACAAGACCAGCAACAGTGAAATCCCACACTACCTGTGTCTATTAGTCAAACTGCATGTTGTACATTGTCATTTGTTAAACACTACAATATCAAATCGAGTGATATCAGACCTCAAATAGAAAGCTTGCTCAGCACTCGTCCAGAGAAAGCATCACTCTTAATCCTTCAATAACACTCTTACTTTCAAATTAATGTTGGATATTTGACTTTTACAGTTTCAATGCCAAAAGCAACTGTGGGTTCCACCCTTTAAACATCAGATAAACGTTTGAGGTGGTGATACGGTTGGTAGTGTGTGCGTCCGTGTTGATGGGAATCCCTGATAGCTTCAGGCAACAGCGTGAGGAACCAAAAGATGGTTCCTGACTGACTTTAAGTGACAACAACATATCGTGCCGTCACCCATCAGAGCTGCCGAAGCATCAGGGAGGTGATTCTTTCATGGCAACAGAATTACATTCAGAACACAGCCTCCTACCAAAAGACGTTTGACACTTTTTTTTTTTCTTCCCACGGTGACTTATTAACGATACAGGCACAAAAATAAATGTGATCTTTTATTCCTTTTAGCGCAGTCTCGGTTACTTCTGGTCTATCCGAACTGGGAGAAAACGTTCAATCTTATTTCTACCTGTTTGGATTAAAAAAATATTCACATTAGTGCCACAAAAGCTGAAATATGAGATTCCTCAATTTGTATGTCAGCACAGTTTCAGACAGCTTTCTTTCACCTTCTATGCACCATGTTTTTGTTCTTGTTTTGAAAAGTAGTTGTGGAGATGAGGTGGTGGATGTACAGCTGAACACGTTTCAACTGCCAGGATCTTTTATTGGAAACTGACCATTTCCTAAAATACCTCAGCTAATTAGAAGGAAGGTTTAAGAAAGGTTAAACCAAAAAAAAATAAAAATTAAGTACAAAATTATCACTGTAATATGGCTGCAGGTGGAGGCTGTGATGTCTGAGTACATGAGCTGTACTGTGTTTTAAATTGAGGAATGAGGTCCAGCAGCTTGTTGGCTTCATGTGTGAGACCAGGTGAACCACAGCAGAGCTCTTCAACTGCAGGGAAACTTACGCCATGCTGATGGGAAACAGAGGAGGGGAGAGGGTTGAAATCACACGGAAACAACATTTAATGGCTAAATTGTTCCTGTAACTCAGTGCTTTTTAGATTTTAATCATATTTGTGGGGCCTAGGGCTGCACAATATCTCGTTTCAGCATCGTCATCGCAATGAGCCTTTGCGCAAGAATCACATCGCAGAACAATGCAATGTCAAGGAAGTCAAATTAACTCAAACACCAACCTTTTTTTGCAGCGTGATACAAAAGGAACACTCGTACAGTTCTCATTCTCCATGACTAATCTACAAGACAAGTCTTTCTGATGTAACATCAACATTTACTGTGATTTAAGACTTGTTGGATACAGAGTTTCTAGTAACAAGCAGACCCTGCAGTCACAGCGAACCACCAATCACAATACTGTTCTCGATCAGTTTATCAAACAACTAAAGCAGGCCCCGCCCCCGCTAGTTGTCTACATCTCTCTATCTATATCTCTATATATCGCAGCAGAGAAAAATATTGCAATGTCAGTTTTTTCAAATATAGTGCAGCCCTAGTGGGGCCTCATTATTATTGACGTCTTCTCTTTAATACACTGTTGCAGGCTGGGAAAACAAAAAAAAATGTGCTCTGTAGAGCTGATAGGAACTGAGTCAGGTGAGGTCATGCGGTTTTGTACAGAACAAACAAACGAGATGTTAATCAGTGACCTTTAGGAGGAGCTGGAAGGTCAATTTGTTACCTTCGGACAATCAGGTTAGCTGTATCTCCTGATGCTAAGCAGCTGTTGGCTGTAGCTTCATATTCATTAAACCGATAAATGAGTTAGACAAATACTAATATGTGTATTTTCCAACGTGCCCGACTTCTTTAATGAACCGGGCAGACGAGCTGTATCCATCAAAATTCTTTTAACTTTTGAAAAAAATTTTCAGCGACAACTTGCCTCCAATTTCATTATTCGGATGAGAGTTTGTGTAAAAAGGAAATGAATGAATCTGAAGGTCTGAACGACAGACTGAGTGAAGATCAAGTCAACACAACAAACGTGGCTTTCAGTGTGAAGTAACACTGCTGATGAGGCCTGGCTGCAAGTGGTGAGCAGTTATAAAACAAACAGATGGTCGAGACACCTTCTTCAGGCTGAGAGAAAGAACCGAAGCATCACATGGTCATTTTCAGAGCGGCGTGTGATTAAAAGTTTTAGTGAGTCAGTCTGTCACACAAGTGTAGAAGGTCGAGTGTTACAATCGTTTGTGTGTGAACGTGTGAGAAAAATAAAAGATCTGGGTTGTTACAAATTCACTCTCAGGCTTCATTTAATGAACTTGAATGTGTGAAACCTCCATGTTCAGCTTGTCTGAAGCTCTTACGTAACTAGACAAAAATAAAAAGGTGAAAGTGTGTGTGCGTCTGTGTGTGTGTTAAGTCACCTGTCGATCAGAGAGTCCCTCATGCTGGTGGCGATGGCGGAGGGCTGTGACGTGTCACTAAGTCTGAAGACGCTCTCGATGACGGACAGCTCGGTACTGGTGGTGTCCAGGCCGCAGAACGCGCACCAGTCGTTGACCACCAACCCTGCCGCGATCACCTCACTGCCCCGGTTCACTGTGCCGGCCTGAACAGGAAGTTAGTTTTACTGTTGTGTACAAAATATTACTCATGTTTCTTTTCTCTCCTGCTGGTTGATGCAATAAAAACGTGAAATAGTCGACTTCTCTCGCTCTTTCTTGGGAAAATCCGCTGCCTCACTACTTCTCTAGTCTGTTGTGTTGGGTATTTGTGTGATTTTTATTTTTTTCAACTGCAGCAATTGCATTTCTTCAGCAACCAATAAACCAAATGCAACACGAGCACTTTTATTCACAACGATGACATACAAAAGGGGGAGGGACACAGTGTCGATCGACAAATCAAACTGCAAAAAGTTGCTGACAGAAGTCCTCAACAGAGTTGGCTGTTACAGTCGAGCCGTGGGATAAACAAAGATTTGAACTCGGACTCGACCCCAGGTGCCCCTCCTCCCATCGCTCACCACTAGAGGAACTTGTAGCAAAGACGACAGCTCGTCCTGGTCTTCTATAGACGTCTTCGGGTGGACGAGGCCTCCCTGGTTGCTGAAAGAACAGTAGGAGCCGACCAGGACCTGCTCTGCGACCGTCTGACGGAAAACCTCCACCTTCAGAGTGTCTGCGAGGATCTCCTCTGTCTCCTGAACGGGAGGGAGGGCATGTGTTCAATGTCGTCAGATCCCAGAGTAAATACTTACATCATGAATCCTAAATAAACCATAAATCACCAAGATGTCATCTGAAACTTTACTGCTAAAATCAGAATCTTCAACCAAGTCCAATTGCCCTGGACTTTAACCTTCTTTGGATAACTACGACCTGGATGACTGAGAACGTTTACAGACATCTTTCTGTTACAACTGCATGTGAACTGAGGCGTAATTAATAAATCTCTTGATTTATTTGACTAAACCACGAACCATTTAGTTTATGAAAGAAACCACAAATTAGTAGAAATGAAATTGAATCGTTTTCTCACTTTATCCTTCCAACTTTTAGCCATGAATATTGAGTTCAAGACAGTATGGATAAGAAAAACTAGTGTATTTGTGAAGATAAAACCAGAAAATGTGTTACATTTTAAGTGAAAGATTCCTAAAACAACTTAATATCGAATGCCAAATTAACCAAACTAACTAAAACCAGGACATTAAGGCCACTGTCACGAGCTCGGCCCCGGCCCCCGGCCCCTCGTTAGGGGTCTCTCTGTAGGAACGACTGTCAGCTGAGGTGTCTCCAAGAGATGAATGTAAGTCAATGTAATGGCTTCTGAAGGACGTGATGAAGACACAGCCGTGTGTGTGTGTTTATCCGTCTCACCCTGTCGAGGTCGGGGTGGACCAGCGCTACGTAGTCGTTGCAGGCGATGACGTTCCCGAGAGCGGACAGCCTCTCCTCCACTCGCTGCATCCTCACTGCTTCAGGCAGGCAGTTCCTGATGTGCTGCAGCTCCTGGTCTGTCGTGTTGTTGGGCACCAAGAGGCCGTGACGGTTACCTGAGTACAGGACAAACACAAGAGAATAAATAAACTAGCCATCCCCCTAACCGAGTCAGATTTAGCTTTTGTTTCTGTTTGACCTGTTGTGTCGATGGGAAGAAAAGAAGAATGTTGTGAACAGATTTTGAAAAAGAAAAAAGTAAGAGATTAAAATCAAAGGATGAAAGAAAGGTGTCGTTAGGGATCGATGTGCTATAAAGATTTCCAAAAGCCGGATGAAAGAGGAAACCGACATAAGAAGTGTTAGTGTGTGAGTGTTGTGCCCTCCAGAGCATTACTCACCCACGCACATCCTCCCAATGATGCGACAGCCTGCTATGGAAGCGTGGACCACTGGGATGGTTTCTGATAATTCCCCTTCAAACACACTGCAGTCACAAAAACAACGGCAGCCTGTCACTTATTTCAGCTCTGCGTGGAAACTGATCTGGCTCATCCAAGAGAGACAAAGGCGTCTTTTACATAAATATGAATTTGTAGAATTATTTTGACTTTTGTTCCCAACTGACTAAACTGCGAGACCACATCCAAATAACGGTCTGCATGCTGGATCATTAACATGCTGAATTTCAATGTGATTGATTCTTGAAATACATTAAATTATGTCCTACCTGATATGTATGTTTGCCTATGTGGAAGGAAACTTTAATTTTGCAGATTTTTAAATGGAGGTTTGATATAGCAGTATTTCCATGCAGCAGAAAATGACACAATTCTGCAATATGTCTATTAAATGTCAAGAAATTGTGAAATCCCAATTTTCCAGAGCACAAAGTGACATCTTCAATTTGCTTCTTTTATCCAAACCACAGAATAAAACCCAAAGACTTTTCATTTACTGTCATAAATGACAAAGAATAGCAGCAATTCCTCATATTTAAGAAGATGAAACCAAATTTTTCACAGATTTTTGCTTAAAAAAAATAATAACTGAAACAATTAATCGATTATAAAAATAGCAGGGCTGGAAATGAAAATCAGCGCCAAATGTGGGTAGATTTTCCGTTTGCCGTCTGTTGGAAGGCTACCCGCCGCATTGGCGGGTAAACGTATTCGGTAAGATATCTCCATATAATAGGCTTTTGACCGGATTAGCGTTGTTGGCTTTTGACTGGATTAGCGTGTCGCACTTAAATTGGTCCCCGCTGTGCCAAGGGATCTAAAAATCGTGTGTAACACACGGGTTAGAGGACAACCCTCCCGTTTCCCCCGGGCTTCTCCCATATTTTACCGTGTCATCTCGTTAAAATATTTCCCCGTAAATGTCCCATTTATTTCTAACCGCTGTTTGCTTAGTTCCCCTCCATTAAAGCCAGTAGCAGCGTGTAGAACAGCTCGGAAACAGTGAAGGGACGTCAACAGCACTGCAAATAAAACAAGAAGAAGAAGAACAGCAGAGCGACGGGTTCAGGACAGATGACGCTTTGCTAAACAGAGTGTTTCACATGCATTTGCCCCTAAAATAGAACCAGAGAAATGATTTACGATGTGCGAGTAAAAACTACAACCTACAGTTATTTTTTTGTGCATAAATCCTTGTGATTTTTTTTGTTAGTTCTTAGCATAAATAAATTAGAGACCAATGTAGACTGTTTTTCTGTTTTTAATCAATGAAAACAACCTACAATTAATATCAATTAATTAATTAATTAATTAATATTAATATGAAAGTTTAATGAATATTGTGTGGGGGCAAAACTGAGGCTGAAGCAGAACTCAAAAAATTATTTATAAAGATAGTTAAAGTTGAATGATAAAGCATGATTAAGAATGAGCAGTAATGAGATTTAAGTTGAATTATTATCTTGTAATAATAATAATAATAATAAGTATCTTGTAAGTTTATAAAACAACCAATGTTATGTCTTAAGTACATTTAATAGCAATAAATGAATTTAGCTTCAAATTTCAATCTGATGTCTTCTTTAAGTTTGTATTCAACAGAATATTATCTCATAGGGCTGGACAATAAAACAATAACAATTTATCGGAATATAATTTTTTTCAACAACAATATAACAAATGTTCAATAAATATTCAATGTTTATTTTGTTGAGGAAAAATGGACTGAAAAAAGCTTTTACTTAATTTTACTCAGGCTTATTTGTTGAAAAGGAATTGTTTTGAATGTTCTGCCTCAGATTTGTGAAGTGATCCAGTGTTTGGCATCAAGTGTTTGTTCTGACCATAAAGAAGCGTTTAAACCACAATTAACCATCAGGTTTCTTCAACTTTCACCCAGGAGCAATAATCAACCTTTGAACTCGAATGAAAATAACGTTTTGATACTTCTCGTGATAATTATCGATATCGAAAGATATGAAACTTTTTATCGTGATAACGTTTTCGGCCCTATCGTCCAGCCCTGTTATCGCAATTAAAAAGTACTGAAACAAATGTTTACGTGACATAAAAAGGCAGGTTATTAATTTGCCCGGTAAAAAATATGTTTGGCCGGTGGATTTTTTCATCCACTAGTTCATTTCCACCCCTGAAATAGTAGATTAATTTTCTTTCAATCGACTAATCGATTAATCGTTGCAGCTCTAATGTTCATGTTTCCTAGTGTGAAGTATTGAAACATTAAGTTACAGGACCAATCAGTACTTTAGTGACCATATAAATTAAAGATATACTGCTGCAACTGAAGTGTTTCACAGGTGAATGATCCACTTGTCAGCGCTCTGTGCTGGACAAACTACACAGTTTCTGATTTATGAAACAACACTCTTTTACGTAGCCCCCAAATATGAGCATACATGTACTTTGTCTTCAGGGATGATTCATTTCATTTACCTGACACACCTCATCTTACAGTCCAAGTCTTTGATTACCATCAAGCTCCCGAGGCTCATTCAGCTGCACAGACCGGCTGGATAAAGCTCGTGTAGCGGCCTGAACGTAAATAATGTCGTGTAGCGGCCTGAACGTAAATAATGTTAAAAAGTTAAAACTTCACCTGTAGAAGTTCTCTGAGCCGCCGATGGCCACCAGGCAGTAGGTGTTGGTCAGCTTGGCGAAGCAGCCGATCTCGTTGTTTTTCTCAAACGATGCTCTCACGGCCATGATGGAAGGAGAGGAGGGTTAAACTTCTGCTTCTGAAACAGCACGAGGGGGGTTTTTAAAACACACAGAGCTTTCACCACAGTCACGAGCTGCTGGTAATCACACCAGATAACGCCAGTGAGTTTCTTTATGAAGTACTTTAAAACAGACGTGACAGTTCAGACGCATTAGCATCGGTTAGCTCGACGGCTAGTTTTCAGAAGTTTATCGTTTAGCAGCCGGAAACAGGAAACGAGTCAGAGCAGCTCACGTTTTACCGACGGGCAGCTTTAACCATAGACACAACGATGCTTCTTTTAAATAACTATTAATATTTAGAGAAAGGGGGATAAAATTACCTGAGTAAGGGGTCGCGGCAGCCCAACGTGCGTGGTGATTCCCTTCAACCCCTCGTGTTCACTTCCGCTTCAGGGTTAACGTGGTGACGTAAGACGCACCACGCGTTAAAACAAACAACACGTTAAAAGCGTCGTACTTTTATTTATAAATACCAAGAAATGACCTCTGTGAGCTTTACTAAATGTTTATTTAAATGTTCTTTTGCCTTTGCTTTGCTTATTTATATTATATAAATAACATAAGCAAATTACAAAGCTAATTATATATATATTTTCTTTTTGATAACCGCTGACCTCTCTGGGTTATTTGTGATTTGTGTGGGTAGATTCAATTGGTGTCCAGAAGATGTTGTTTAGCTGCTGTATATCCATGTTTATGAATGAAGATTGGATTGGAAATTTTAAAAAAAACCCCGAAAAGAATCACACCAAAATAAATGAATAAAATAAAAGCATCGTTTCTCTATCAGCAAAGATCCAACGTCATTCATTTAGTTAAAATAATGTGAAATCCTAATACAGGTGTGGTTTTGTGGACAGGACAAGTGAACCATCTCACACTTTCTTTCTTTTCCACGTTTTGTTTAATTCAGAGTACAACATCATATGACATTCTAAATAAAAATTTCAAGCAAATAATCACAGTTTTATAAGATACGATAGAAGTTTATGTATTTATTATTTATATTAAATTGTTGTGCAGCAGTTGCAGTACAAAGTCAGAAATAGTTTGAATATTAATCATCAATAGCGGTGCAAGTTTAAAAATATCAATAATGGTGATATAGGGCGGTGGATAAAATGCATACATTTGGTGTGAGAGATCCAGGTTCAATCCCCCACTGTGACACATCCACCAATATGTCCCTGAGCATAACACTTAACCCCTAGTTGCACCAGAGGCAACTTTAAGTACCTTTAGATAAAAGCGTCAGCTAAATAAATAAATGTTCTGTAAACAGAGTTGCAAAAGTAAGAAAATCTCACATTGCTTCTACATAATATTGGTGAGTTACCTATTGATATGAGAAGTGGCATAAAGCTATAAAACAAAACAAAAATAAGCATTATATAGTGAAATGATAAAATAGATTCGGCTCCAGCAAATGTTACAATAGTAACAAAGCAACCAGAATGTAAAATATTTTCGTTGGCCGTTTGACCTCTGACAATGTAAATGGTTTGCTACGTTGGCCTGTCTTCAGATTTAAATGTTTATGTTCAGCAAATATTAAAATATCTGAATATTAGAAACTAAAAGCAGAACAATTTATCGACAAATAAAGTCATAATTCAAGGTCTACTTGTAAGATTTTTGTTTTCCAATAAAAGCCGCTTTCTTGTTTCTATTCTATTACATGGACTTATTATTAATAGTTACTATAATCAAATTACATGTTTTTGTAATGAATAGTAATAAAGATTTTGTCTATATGTTATTATAAATCTAAATCTTGCAATCAAGTTCTGTCGTTGGGCACCTGTCTTCTCTTATTCTACATTTCCGAGTCATCTGAGTCTCTTGGTTATATTATTATATTCTCTTCCATTCACAGTCAACTTTGTTGGCCAAGTGTGTTCTGTGTTGTATGTACAATGACTTTGAATCTTTAGTGGCTATTAATGTTCAGGACACTAGACACAGACATAGATATTTCACAAACAAGAAATTTGGTGTTTTGGTGCTCAACAAGAAACACAGTACACTCTAAAAAAATAAAACATTGGGTCAACAAAAAAAAAAAACATGTTAACGTTTTCCACTAGAATTTTTAAGTTAAGACTGCTGGCAGAATTACATTAATTCAAAGCAATGTTTTGAGTATGGTGAATTACCTTTTAGCCCACAATAAAACACATTTCTAAGTAACGTGAACTTAATAATTGTCAACATGAATGCAAGTGTTTAAGTTGATCCAACATAATGTTTTAAGTTAGGTCAAGAAGCTTTTTTTGGCCACAATAAAATTTCTAAGTAACATGAACTTAATAATTAAGTTGATCTCTGCAAGAGTTAAGTTGCGTGTTAGCGAGTTATCTTTAGTACCCTATTTCTTCTCATCTGAATCATAGTCTATTCATGTCTAGCTACTTGTAGTTTATAAACGTAGCTGGCCTACACGCTAACCGGAGCGGTGGCTAATGGGTAATCCCATGTTAAGTTAGCTTGCCAAGACGTTTTCCCTGGCTGCCTGGCCACCTATTACTCCCGCATTTAAGCCTACTGAATCAGTGACAGGCTACTAGCTAACTTTACCTCGGCACACAGACTGCACTATCAGCACTGCCCAAATTTCAGAGTAAGGACTTCCAGATTTTGGTATTCGGTTACAGTCCTGAGCGAATGCAAATATGTGTAATTCTGCATAAAAATACCTACCATTCAACACATTACACTTCAATGCGTTCAAGCTGAGGCCCTGTGGTCACTGTGGCCTTGAACATGTCTGCACACATGTCTGTGTGGGCCGTTTAAACATCAACAAATTGTATTTTACGTTAACAGAACTTAAAATTCAATTATCTTAACTGAAAATGTTAAACTCTAACAAGTCATGATAGTATATTGAATCAATAGGCATAATTTGTGTGTCATCCAAGCTCAATAAAATAACAATTACAAGTAAAAAGTCTAACAGTATCTCAGTTTTATTTCACAACAATATATATATTTAAGTAATGACTAAAGGTCCCCTGAATTAGGTTTTAGAGTGTAAGAGAAGAGAAAAAGTACTGCAAAAGAGCTGTACAGTGTTTAAATCAGTCATGTTCATCAGTTAAAATGTTACAGTACACATTTATGTACAGTATCCAGTCTGTGTAGGTTGTTTTGTTTGTAGTTTTTCATGTATAAACATTAATATACAGGCCTATATATATGTTAACACATTTCTAATGCTGGTCCTGCCTGCTGTCAGCCTCACATTTGTCTCCATCAGATATTTTCCTGCTGCTTCCTCCCTCACATCAGCTGCTTCTTAGCCCCTGATGTTTATAGCCCAGATGCTCGGCGTGCGTGCGCGTGCATGCTTGAGTGCGCGAGCTACGGAAAAGGAAACAAAATGATGTTTAAAAAAAAAAAAAAAAAAGAAATAAACTCTAAACTATCTTCCCTCTTCAAATACCTGCATAGCAACTGCAAGCGCGCCTGTCCTCCTCCTCTTTCCTCGGGCAGCACCGGGATCAGCTCTCTGAGCCAATCACGACGGCCGTCTCGTGTGACGTCTTGTTTGTTGACACTTCCATTAGCTCGCCACCTGTGTGACGTCACTGCAGCATGTTGTGGTGGGGTGGGGGGCGGGGACGAACCAGAGCGGAGGAGGAGACAAAGAGCATCTAAGCGAAGTGAGAGATCTCAACAACTTTTCTTTGGCAGGCATCTAATGTCTGTGTGGGAATCAGCCCTAGATACCAAATTGGCAAACCCTGCCACAACCAGAGAAAGTAGTAGGGGAGACCGGGGGAGGCATTTTCTGTCTGTGTCTTGGAGATGTTTTAAGCCAAATGAGAAAAAACAGTTACGTGTTTCTGCTATTAAATGATGTAACTGTTATCTCAACACAGACAGAAAATGCATAGTTTAGTCTCAAACACAAGGAGTAAAATGTTGCAATTCACCACTTGGTCTGGGTTAGTTGTAACACACACTGGGGTGAAATGTAACATTATGTAATAAGGAAAAGGCCTATGAGAAAAACTTACATATTGAAAACTCTCCATTCATCACTTATACTAATTTTTAACATAACTGGTGTGTGTGTGTGTGTGTGTGTGTGTGTGTGTGTGTGTTTGTGTGTGATCCGAGTATCTGAGATACTGCCAGTCATAGTAGTGAACATAATAAAATTTGCAAATGTGCAACAACTGAATATTAGTGTGTGTGTTTGTGCTTGTTTGTCTTGGACAGTCACAGAGAAGTCTACAGGTCTCTAACATTTAACAACATAATTATTATTATGATAAAGTATAAAAAACACAACATACACACAACATATTTTCATTCTTGCATCCTGCCCCTGCTCCATCACAGTGCCATGTTCAAATTAGCTTTATTTGCATGAATGTATAGCAACAATATTGCCAAAGCCATATACAAAGTACATAAGGACAGTTCATTTCATACATTTCATTAGATAAGGAAATAAAGCAGCAAAAGTTGTGTTTGTGTGTGTTAATACAAAATAAAATAATAATAAAAAAATATATAAAATATAAAAAATCCATAAAAAGAAATATTTTTAAAAAAAGTAAATAAGTAAAACAATAAGCGTGTGTGTGTTAAAAAAATTAAAATGTATTAAAAATTAAAATAAAGTAAATGACGTCTGACACAACGCGCGGAGTGATCCTTCTTCTCGTGTAAACACGATCTTTGGAGTCACCCGCTCCGCAGACACGTCGTGCGGGACACTCTGCCTGGAAACACCGCAAACTAATCGGAACCGGCGGCCGACAGAGACGGACGGGTCTCGCGGGAGAAGAGGGGGTCGACTAGGTGGGATGAAATTAATTTATGTTCCCGACAGCAGCTAACAGCTCACACGCCTCTCCGTCTCTGTCTCTCTGGAGGCGGAGCTATCAGGGTTGTAAACATGTCGGTCCTGTTCTGGCACATAAACACAGCTGGTGAATGAAAGCTGCAACGTGCAGTCTGCGGTCGAGATAAGACCAACATGTAGCACTAGTTTAGATTGTGCCATAATTATCATGATAAATCGTGGAACACATTTGAAAGCATCAAAAAGACGTTTTATAAGTAATATAGTTTTGGATGTTTATACCTAGTCCACCTTAAGTTTGGTGCAGTTAAATTAAGTGCATGCTCAGCTTTATTGTCTCACTTTGTACTTTTATGATCCGAATAAATAAAATAGATAGAATAGAAAATAGATAAATGGACACAAAGAGAGGTAAACTTAAAACTAGTGTGTATGTAGCCTTCATACAAGCAGCTGTATTAATAGATAAGCATCAATGGCAACAACATGAAATGTGTTTATTACATTTATCTGACGCTTTTATCAACTAGGGGTTAAGTGTCTCCCAGTGGATTTGAACCCGAATCTCTCCCACCACAGGTGTGTGTCTTATCCACTGCTCCATCAC